ATAATCCCATGTTTTCCTGCCATCTTCTTTATCACCTTTTCGACCCTTTTAAGGCCTGTTGTTCCGTTTTCCTTTTGCCCCTTTCGTCAAAGAAGTAGCTGTGCTCCTTTGGGTTAGGTGCGTCAGTGCATGGCTGTTGTCATTTTTAAGGATACATGAGGAGTCAAAGATCAGGGGAATACCAAACCCACTATTAACATTACACTAGTAGCCCAAATGGAATATTCCCAAGGGTGGAACGACTCAAGATCCACTGACTTCTTTATAAACAGGAGCCTTTTTGCATGAAAAAGTGTGGGGGTGGGGAACGAAAACAAAGTCCGAGGGGGATCGAGACGGGCAGGTCATTAAGGTGAAAGAATGCCTTGCGACGGACTGAGTGAGTGAGTGAGTGGAAGAAGAGAACTTACACGCGGTATGTAGGACCCAGATCTTCCGACGACGCGGATGGAAGATCTGACAAAAGTGGGGTGAGGTAGGGAGGGAGCAGAAGAATTGGAGATTCGGAATGTCTCCACTTGCCTGCTTTGCTTTTTATGCCTCAGCGCAAAAGTTTTCCAAGTAGGCTCTTGTACAGCCCAAGCAACAGCATTGAGAAAGTGGACTATCGGGTTCGTATCGCAAGTACACTTCACAGATATCGTCGTATCGTTTGTGCAAGTGGATTTGACTATCAACAAAATCTGATATGTCTAAAAAATTTGGGATAATGAGAAGGAGGAGGCAAAGGAAACTTACCGGGAAGTCCTCTAGCCACTCTGATGAGCTCACGAACTGCGCGTTTATGGTAGGGTGAGAATGTTCCGCGTTGTCCACACTGCTCCTTTAGGGTGTGAATCAGCGACTGGCCACAAAGAATACGCGGACGATCTACTTCTGTTGTTGCGTATTCAGTATTCGCTCGTTTCATCATGCTTAGACTGTCCTCTGATGGAGCGTCGCCTTCCTCCTCCCAGTCATGAAAAGGTGATACCGCACAACCGCCAGAAATGAGAAAAAATATGTTTAATAGTAGAAAAACGGGAATGTAATGACTTGGGGAAGACATTGCTGTACTTGTTGGCGTTGACGTTTGTCTAATTCTTAATCTTTTTACCCTCCCTGTGTATGAAAGGTTGTTTATCACTCGTCTGCGAAAGATCAGCCCTTCGTGGATATATATCATCATGACACTGGCCTTCAGCCAATCAGGACTGGCTCGCTGTTTAAGCGCGTGCAGGCGGTCATTTTGGATGCGTACAAATTAGCGAAAAAAAGTCATGCGCCTTGCACATACACTTGCGACATACACATACATATAAATGAACTCTTAAAATGATGCCAAATTCAACTCTAATTTAAGCATTGTCTCTAAACCTTACATACGCATTGAGAGGCTGAACACAGTTCAATCCGACATGACAACCGACACCTTTCTTGCCGTAAAATTGAGTGATCACTGCACTGCCCCCCTTCCCGCCTGACCTCCGCCCTCGACGAGTAGGATCTATTTGAACAATTTGAGTGCCATGCCATGGAAATTGACGCAACTGCTAGACTTGGCGTTTTTGTGGATAAGTAGAATGTAGCTGAAAGTGATCCAAAAGAGGCACAATGAATGGTGCCTCCGGCGCATATTTGTGTACTGCTAGATGTGGCCATACGCATCTAACTTGTGCCAAGATGTTGGTAAATTTGATTGAAGGCGGCGAGGGAGCCTACATCCTGCCGCCTGAAATATAGTATTTGGCTACTTCTGTAATGCACCATGAATTGGGGCGGTTTATGACAAAATAAACCGTTATAGTATTCTGCAGTAAAAATTGCAGCATAACGTTCAGTAGACTCCGACCGAAGATCCATGTGTCCCTTCGATGACTTGTTTTTATGGAAAATAAGGACAAGGAAAGTAAGAAATTAACGAATTTACCACTTGTCCGATTGCCTGGTCCGTGTCCAAGGCTCTGCAATCAAACTGAACAGGCTAACATGCCAACCCTTGGAGGAATGCCAGAATACAATGGAAATTGAAGCCGAATTGCCCACCTTAAAGTCAAACCTTCGGTAGCGGCACTCAATTCGCCATTAGAACAAGAGAAGGCCTTCGAAAGTGGGATGCAACAAGCAAGACGCATTTTTAAGTCTGAAACCCACGTTCTATTACCGCATACCACGTCTTCTTTAAATTGTATGCAATCGGTATTATGAAATACTTCTGCGATCTAGTTGCCATGCTACCGCAGTTCATAAAACGGACAAACTCAAATCACATTCATCCGGTTTGATTTGACGGACATTCTATGCTGTGACAGGAAATGGATTGAAAGCACCGTGCTAATCGGTTAATGCACAGGAACAACTACATGCATTTTTAGGACCCGACTAGCTACAAGATGACGTTGGGTAGAGGTAAACTGAGACTGCAATGCAGAATACGCTAGTCGTGGAACACTATCCAGCCTTTGACAATATTTCCCTGATGAAACCTCACTCAAAGCAACACAGCTTGCAGAACGAACAACCAGTAATGGGTACTATTCTCCCTAAGGTGCAATGACATCACATCACCTTAGATACGGTTCCGTGGAGAGTTACATCTCAAACAAGGATACTCAAGTAGGGTTAAAGCGGTGCAACAGCAACGGAGGATGGCGGAAACCATGATCAGAAGAAGAAAGTTATGTTGTAATTTGACATTTATTAAATAGAACACCCGACCGCGAGATCTTTATATTTCCATCTTGTGGCATCGCCTTCCAGTCGTGCCGCTAGCGTCCCACGCCCGCTGCACACCAATGGCAAAGCACTTTTCCATACCGGTATACTTAACCACGATTTCAGAGAAGAATCAGAACACCACAAGTGCTTCCATCAAATTCTCACTCATATTTTAAGTGAAATCGACCCCAATATTTTATTAACAGCGCAAAAGCACAGCTACCACTGTCCTGTGAAAACTCCCTCATTAAATTTGTGCTTTTCAGGTTTCTTAAACACTTCTTAAAAATACCGACTTTCAACTTTTCATTATTAACGTCACTTCATTTGTTCACATTCATAATAATTATGGGAAAACTCAAGCCACCACGTAAAAAAATCATACAGCGAAACAGATAGTCAATCTTGGTGGTTAGGTTAACGAACAGTTAAAACAAATGCAAAAGTTTTTGGTTGTGCTAAACATAAACAAGCATATTGACTTGAGTATGTCTTTTTTCTTGATCGATATAGAAAATTTAGATGTAGGAGTTAAAAATATTTGTCTTAACGACATTTTAAGACTAGCGAAAGGAGAGCGATATTTTGTGAGGAATTAGACGAAAAATAAAATATTTTACTTTCCCTAATGTTTTGCAGTTTAGTCTGTTTCGTGGTCAAATTTGCTTCAATTTTATCAAAATACATTGATCGCGGATTCTTTCCTAATGCCAACTTGCATAACTTAAATGACGTTTCTTATGAATAAAAAACATAAAGATGTTGGGATTTTGATTGCATATTGTGCTGGCAAGTCTGACTCGAAAAGTGAGACAATCGTAGCAAAAATCAAAGATTGCTTTTTGTGCTCTACAATTCTCACCACTGGTTGAAATGCGAATTTAGTGTATCGACGTCTCTGCCTGCCGACGGTTAAGAGGCTTCTCGAAAAATACTTAAAAAGGTGCTTATTTATATAAGACAACAATCCAATGATTGTTTATACTGTTGAATAAGAATAGCAGGAACTAGTTGTGGTTTATTTTTTGGTAGAAATATCTAAGTGTTGTCCAGCACCTGTTCATGAACTCATAAAACGATGGTAAACAAGTGTACCAAGTTGTGTACTTTAGACGGACGACATAAAAGAAAAAACTGCCTACGCTCAGGCAAGAATGGTATATCTGTGTGTGGGTATGTGTGTTGCCACAAAACATGTTTTGATGCACAGTTATTGGTGGTGCTTGAATTATTCACCAGAGATGAGAGTCGGACAATACGGCAAATGTATCACGCGCCCCATTAGATTAGAGTTGTAAAAATAATGGAGCTGGCGATGAAATTAAATAATCTTTAGTATTTATAGCTTCAGATAAGACCACTCTGACTACCGAGGAGGTCTGGCGGTTTTCGACACACCCTGCGACTGTGTCAGTGTAAATTCCATGCAGATCTTGACGATAAATAGAATAGAAAGCATGGATAGGTAGATATGCGTTAGTCCAGCTGCATGACACTCTACTGCGTTCCTCAACAGCAGATGAATCTGATCGGAATTGGAGCTGCAAAGAAGTCGCAGAAGCTTTCCATAAGGTGATGCAGTATGTACTAATAAAATGTGATTTGTTTAATAAAAATCACCAAGGGATGGACGCATCACATTGTGGAAATGCCTTCTCCCTTGAATTAAATTGAAATTAACATACCGTAATGACATAACTGGCTAACTGCAAACGTGTCAAGAACAGCTTTAAGTACGATTTAATGTGAGTTATGGAAGACTTCCATAATGCACACTTCGACAGGAGACAAAAAAATTCGGTGAAGGCCAAACTAACAAGTCCCACCTAAGTGAAAACGATATTTAAACACCTGTATTTTGGTACTTTTTTGTCCCTCTTAGTCCTACGACACTTTTCGTTTGAGTAGTCACTACTCCTTCCTGGCATTAAGGTTAGGCCATCACTCCATCAAATGCGAAACGGAATACACAATTGGAAAACAAAAGTGAGGTCACACTAAGATTGTTTGTGTCTTTTCCAGAAAGGAGAGAATTGCAAACCGTATTAAAGGTTATTTTTGAGAAGGCCTCCTCAGTTGCTCCTTTTGCTTATAAAACGTCAGTAAGTGGTGAGTACCTTACCGAACTTCTTAAAAACATGTATTCGCAGTGCAATTTACCGACGGAAAACAACAGATGCGTGCCACTGAAATCCAAGATGCTTGTCATCCGCGCTGAGAAGTTATTCTGGTGGCCGGCTAAAGATGTCTCTATAAGTCTACCAAATCCTTTGTGAACTTGATACCAAACAATGTGTAGTGTTTTTCCATATCCAAAAATGTATAAGGACTCTCAATTACCGATTGGAATCTACAACTTTATGGGGGAAAAAGGCTCGATGAAACTTAGGAGATGTTGACGCGTCATTCTGAGGATGCGACGGGTAAGTTGGCATTTTGAGCAATCTTAGTGAAAGCCACGCGTCCTACTTTAAGCTGGATAAGCATGATGAGGAATGTTCTTTATTTTCTTTGATATCTGAAATGTAAATAATGCATTCCATTTAATCCCGCGATGAGGTGTGTGAACGTGACTTCGAAGGAATGTGAAGAAGAGGCCAGACGTAGACAGGAAGGCACACACACAGAGAGAGGGGCAAAGAGTGAAGTAATTAAGTTCACTTTAGGCAAACTACCCGGTCACCATACTTAAGTGGGGATGGTGAAGCGATGAAATATGTTGCCACTGCTCTCTGGGTCACTCAAAGTTGCTCAGCGGTCCGTAAACAAACAAACAAGCATGAGGACCTTCATCGCTTCATAATTCATATTTCTCATATCACGTTCTCACTCTACCCAGAAAAAGCTATTTATTTCAATCAAATTTCCTATGAGTAATCTCAGCCAATCTGAACAACGTCAAGCGCTTTTAGGGAAAACGACTATTTTCTACGAAATGGAATCATTTTGAGGCAGAAAACGCCAATTTTCCTTTAATTATCCTTCCTGGAAAGTAAGATTTCCCAGCCTAAAAAGATCCGTCAAATAAACTAGAAGAAAGACTTCAGAACAAGTTTTCGAGTGGATTTCCTTGACGTGCAATGTTTCTTCAAGTTTTAGCATCCTTAAGATGAAGCCAGTTTTTCTCAGTCTGCTAATGTGCATGCTCTTCTCAATTTCACCTGCAGGTAAGGTCAACGACAGAATCTTTTGGCTTCTCAATTCTTTCAAGAAATGCTAACCCTCGAAATAATACAAATTTTTGTTTAAGCGAAGGAAGTAGACGTGACCTTTACATAAAAGAAATAATAGATTCGTAAGAAACAACGGGGCACTCTGCCAATGATACCTATAAGTGGGGGGATAAAACTCACCTTACATTTGGGAAACCCATACCCCCATACTACTAAGGCATACATTATGATTTCCCCCCATTTACCAGAAATAGCTCACGCGGACTTCATCTTCTTTGCTCCGTTTAAACAAACCTCTCAGATATAACTTTTTAAATCTATTTACTTTTGTATGCCAATATATACCTCATCTTCTTTAAGAATAGCAAAACGTAGAGCATGATTTAATTAATGAGTAGTACCACACTACTGAAAGCCAACTCTAAAAATAAGTAGGTAGTTTAGTTTTTGTCCACTTAAATAATAATTTCTTTGAAACACGAATAATAATAATAATAATAGTAATAAATCGGGTGTTCCCTTTTTAAGTGGCTTTTGTCTTTGCATCATAACAAATACTTTGTTCTGGATACACCATTATAGCCCCCATGGCAAAACCGGCTGTAGCGACTAAAATTATCTTCCCATGATAATTCCTTCTTATTTTTTTCCTCTTTTAATTAGATAAAAGGCTTAGGAAGGTTTATTCAAACTTTAAAATCAGCGTCTCATATCCTGTAGATCTGAGGTTCTTCTGCAAAGTCTAGGGGGACATTCACGCACTGAACCAACCAGAACGATCATGGATTTGAAATATCATCACGCATTGCTTAAAATTTGGTACCTACCCCTAATATTCTTTCAAGGAGAAAGGAAAATAGCGTACAATCCCTCAAATCTAGTTATGGGTCTTAGAATAGTCAAAACTCCGGTGCTTGAGAAAATGACCTTGCATAGAAGGAGATGATGTGTTCTTGTACCTAACAAAACTTCATTGCCGAGACAATTTGCGATTCATTGAGGGGCTATAAGGATAAGTAATTCCACACCAACTTTGACTGAGTGTGGGTGTGCTGTGAGCACAGTGAGTCAGGGAAAGATTAGCTTTACGACCGGTTTATCTTTTAATGCTCCTATGGCGGCGGCAATTAACCACCCGTATAGAGTCTGCGCGTTATACGACCACCTCGTGTGTTATGCTGTGATCATGTTGTTTATGCTTGGACAGTGAGTGGGTGGGTGTCCCCCTCTATTTGCACATATTTGGTTATCAAAAAATTTGCCTGTCATGAAAAAAGCGCCTCACCTCTGCATTACAACGACTCCAATATAGTAAATCTTTTTAGCGCCCCCAAAATATACTACTGTTTGGAGCTGGAGGAAGAGCTGACGATGATTAATGGATTGATAAACATGCCGATATACTTTTCCATAAAAAATACTTTCCGTTGCTTCATGGAAATTACTTGGGTATTTTTTAATCAAATAAATTAATTAGAAAATGAGTAATTCACTAACTAAATCTTCATAGGATCCACCATCCTACAAAATTCTGTGATACGCGTTTGTTTGAATTAACTTTGGGGTAGCAAGTAGACAGAGTGAACCGACCTCGTGACTGAGAAGGCGCCATCAATCTCCGTGGAGAAGGCAAACTCCGGGCATGCCTATCAGCCTTTCTGTACGTCAGTGATACGTTTTCTGTCATGCTACTGTGACTTCAGAAAAGACTCGGGGAGCTAGATTAGCACCTTCGGCAAGCGAACCTGATTGGAAAAGACAAACACTGTGATTTTTATTGCGGAATGTTAGACCCTAATGTGACACACGAAGAGAATCTGGTGGAAGAGTCCATGTAACGTCCTAATAGGAAGGTTGAAAACGACGTTCAAAGTTGCCGACTACCTTAGTCCTGTGTTCTGTGGGAATGCTATTAAAAAGTTAAGCAACACTAACCATGAACCGTCTGGAAAAGTTCGTTTTGGAGCTGTCTACGGTTTTTGTATGAAGATGTCATTTAAACAAACACGCGATACGTAATCCACCTCTCTGACAGCTAAAGAGAACCCTAATAGTTTTGTGGCTGGGCAGTATTGAAGTAAGAACAATGTGGGAAGGTAGAATAGACGCCAAATGTTACCCAATTAAACTATTTTAAGCCTTTCCCCCTACTAAATGGCTTTACTTTTAGGCTAGTGTTCTTGCAACTAGCAATGGTGGCATGAGATGGCCTCTTTGTAGACCAACACCCAGTTTCCAGCAGTACGAGATAGGCCATTCTACCTTCCCCAATAGAGCACCTAAACAGAATCAAACTTTGGATCCAGTGGAATGGCCAAGATGCATAATTGACGTCAGGATCAGATATTTTTTCAGCTGCATGGAAATCCAATTACTGGAGCGACTGGTTCGTAGACGTTTTCTTTTCGAAGCATCGACTACCCTTTGATGGCCGACGCGAGAGTGGCTATGGTGAGCGTCATTAATGAGGTGCAAAAGAAGGCAAGGGCCATGTAATGCTTTTGTAGTTTGTATAACTCCACATTTGTGCAACAGAAGATTGTACCTCTGCTTGGCGGCATGAGATGCGGACTGTGCCAGCAGCCTCATCTCTTCCGTGTGCAGTGATATACTTTGTCATTTTATTATGAACTCTTAAGGCCCTAAAAGGCAATCGTGACAATAAGCACATTGTCACAGATAAAGGTATTGCAAATGTTCCAGTTCTTTTCTTTTTAATAAATAAATGGTGCAATGCGATGGTTGTTTGTCGCCCAGTGTTGCCGAAGAGCCACTTTTGATGTAACCTCTGTACCACGCCAGGTGGACTGGCATTTGGGCTATGCCGGTAGCTCAGACACCTTCTTTGTGCTGAATATATATATTCTGCCCCAGTATTACGTCTTCTTTTGTCTTCAGGGAAGTCTCAGGACGCTACAGTAGTCTAACGAATAGGTTTTAAGACTGCTGAATTGTTCTACAATTTCAAAAGGACATAAGATACCATTTCTAAGCATTGGAATTAGAATGCAATCATGCAGCTAAATTTTAAAGACGTTTTTATTGAAGGAGTTGGCGAGCTAAGATCCACAAATGCAGAAATTAATTAAACGGTGAGTTTTTAGAAACGAGTATGTGTATTTTGGCTCAAATACTGATCAGAGACAGGTAAATCAAATCGTGTTACATACCAAAAACAAGACAAGTAGATTAATATGTGCGTATTGTGTTGAAGCTGAATCACGCCAGTATAGCTTTTTAAAATACGTTTTTTCAAGCATTTGAAAAAATAGGTCTAATGTGATACTTCAGGATCATCTTGCTGTAACAATGAATAAACCTCTTACACACAAGGCAAATATTAGCTGAAAAAATGTTAGATTTGTGGATTATTGCAAAAAAGGGCATTATTTATCTTAGGACAACCCATGTTTGGTATTTTGTAACAAAAAGTGTGTAACCCAACCACAGCGACAAATTTGCAATATCTGTGTATGACACCACCGTTATGTTTTTTTAATACTTGACAAAATCTTGATTTGAACATGAAAAAAATCTTTGATTTACCTCACTAACTTTCAAGGTCGATCCCCCTGTTCGCTCCTAATGTTTTGGTCATGCCCCCGAAGCGATTTAATCCTTTCAGAATTCCAGACAAACTTCTCAATGATCAAATCCTCACTGAAATCATTCAGAATTACTTGCCTAGAAACTACAATTTTGAGATTCACAAAACTATCTGGCGAATTCGCTGTCTGAAGGCTAGATGTGTGGCACTACAAATGCCCGAAGGCCTACTGCGTTTCGCAACCACTCTGAGTGAAATTTTTCAAAGATTTGGGAGCGCATCCTACAAATTCAACGATGAAGACCCGGAGCAGGAGAAAGCCGATGATGCTTCGTCCGAAGTCGACATAATCATCCTTGGGGATGTAACCTACGGCGCGTGTTGTATAGATGATTTCACCGCCAAAGCTCTAGGTGCTGATCTCCTTGTACATTATGGACATAGCTGTCTCATTCCTATTCAAAGCTTGTCTGTCTTGTAAGTTTTCAATAACTCTATTTTGCACAAATTACCTTGTAGGTATGTTTTTGTTGACATTGCATTCGATATGGCTCACTTCATTGATAGTATTAAAACTATCTTCCCCAGCAATGCATCTTTCGCACTTTTCTCAACAATCCAGTTTGTCTCAAGCTTGCCCGCTATCAAAAAGTCCCTTCAGGAAGGTGGATTCAAAATTATCATTCCCCAGCGCCTTCCTCTTTCACCGGGAGAATTGCTTGGGTGTACGTCACCGAAGGTAGAAGTTTCTCTAGTTTCTTCTTTTAGTTTGTTCATTAACAAATCTGACACTCTAAATCACTGTTTTCTGTTTTATGGGAAATATGCGGTAGTTCAAATGCCTTCAGCACTTCCTTATCTTTTGCAAAGGTATCAGGAGTAGATTTCATGGTCTTCATCGGTGACGGCCGATTCCATCTTGAGTCAGCAATGTTAGCGAATCCTACCCTGCCTGCTTACTTGTACGATCCTTACAACAAAGTCCTGACACATGAGTCCTACGACCACGCGTTGATGCGGACCAACCGCAGACGTTCGATTGAAACTGCTCAGTCGGCTCAGCGCTTTGGCATCATCTTAGGTACACTTGGACGTCAAGGCTCTCCACCAGTGGTTCATTTGCTCCAAAGACGAATTGAAGAGCTTGGGCGAAACTTTTTTGTTGTTCTGCTCTCCGAAATATTTCCAGATAAGCTAAAGCTCTTTGGCGATAAGGTGGACGCTTGGATACAAGTACGGTTATATCAAAGTTGTTATTTTTAATTGGTGAGTAAAATGGTTCTTGTTGGTGGTGATTTTGCCCTTAGGTGAAGTCACCATGGATCAGGTATCCGATAGCCTGAGATACTAAGCTTGTGGAAGCTCTATTCTGATCTCTTATTACTGACCCACTTCTTTCTAAAATATTCTACCGAGTTTTATTGTGAAAAGAATCAATGCAGGTAGCTCACAGCTCCAACTATAGAGGTGCTCAGTCGATGAACGCGAATTGTACGGGATATTCTTTTAGTATATTGAGCAGCATTTGAAATGGCCCAAAAAGTAGTGATAATTTGTGTTTGTTAAAACAATAAAAAGATATTCCATTAACATAGACCCTAGCAGTGAACGTGTTAGGTGAGAATGCACTCACTCTCTAGGTGGCGTGTCCACGACTAAGTATAGACTGGGGAATGGAATTCGAGAAACCTCTGTTGACGCCCTACGAAGCCGCCGTGGCGTTGGGTATGGCGGACGGTAAGTGGAGTGATGCAAGGCCCTATCCCACGGACTACTACGCCTACGACAGTTTGGGACCCTGGACACCTAACCATGTTGACAATCGCCTCAATGTCCGTGTGCCCTCTCTGCGACCGTCCAAGAAGTCCCCGACAGCCTGTTGTGATCACAATAAGTGCAATCAGTAAATAATATTTGTGACTGATTCTTGTTTTGCTTTTACGATGTTCAAGTCTGGGCTCTTAATTTTTGCAGCCATTAGGTAAAAGTAGCGTTTTTGTGACGATGGCGATACCGGTCAGTTCTATTTTGTACCCAAACCACAGCACGGCAGTCATCCCTGCAAACGTTCGGGCCGTAGGACGTCCTACTGACTCCTACCCTACGGAGGAGCAAATTAGCAGAAGGGA